ACGCGCTTTCAAACTGGCATCGAAAATAAGAATCTCAATCTTCAGCATTTGCTAAAAACGTATCATAATTCAAGCAGGCATTACAAAATTGCATTGTATTAATCATTTCTAGTTAGTAATATTATTTAGAAGCAATAGTTACTGCATGAATTAAAAGAAACAAAACGCCGTTGGAAACACGTCAAGTCTTACTCATCACTGCAGAGCATACAATGTCGCCAAATCGTTTTTATTATATTTTACTTCTGGTAACTCATTGTGTGCTTTAGGGTTCATTTATGTAAATTTTACTGACTGACAAGGAAGCCAAGTTTTGACTGGACCTACCGGCCTTACGCTATTAATAAGACTGAAAACGTCATCGATAGCAAAATGAACATAAAAACACTGTGACCAAAGAGATGTTTGTACTCTTCTAACTTCATAATTGAGAACTATTTGTGACGCTAATGATACCACGAAGATAATGATGCGGCGCTGATCTCCATTTCTGTGCCATCAGTCAGGAATACCGGCAGAGTCAGCAGTTATGTAGCAAACACAGCGCGTAGTCTCAGGCCTCTTTATGACAGAGCACTACTCATTTATCAACCTCAGAAAGAAGAAAAGCAACTGACTCAATCAGGGATCCAATTTGCGACCCTTATTTCTGAGTCTGACAATTCACCAACTCAGCAACTTCGATCTGAGTATAAACTCTGTACTGAATCTATGACGTCTATGATCTGAACAAGTTTCCTTAAGCGTTTCGAAATGTCATCGAGACAACGGTACTGTTAAGTAGCAACAACAGGTACCCACACTGAATATTTCAGTGACAGAAACAAAATGACAACTATTGGCGAGAACAGTTTGTTTATTTTGCAGTAAATGAGGCTTCTGTACAAATTATACAATCGCAACGTAGACGGCTCAAATTAAAATTAACATAATTCCATAAATTAACATTAAATGAGCAAAACCACTGTATATATACTAATTTATCAGACTCCGGAAAAAATAAATTATTTTAACCAGAAATATTAAAAACTAGCCTTGGTATTACATCAATACAGTTTCCCAACTTGTAAAATTTTGCACACGTCAATTTAATTTATCGAATATGTCATGCAAAATCCTTGGACTCGTAGAACCTTCTTCCTCTAAAGGTATCTCAGGTTCTTGTATATTTTCACTAAAACAAAACAACTGCTGTGAGACGGCACATAAAAAACATAAAACATAAAAAACATCCACAAATCAATTTTGAACTTGTTACACAAGTTATAACATGAAAATTTTAAAATTTACGATGAAAAACAATATCATGAAATGTGTTCTTAATTTTGACTAAAAAATATTACTAAACCCCCATCCATGGTGCGGAGGAGAAACAACCAGAGAGGTGGTTATGACTGAGCTCATTGAGGAAACGCCTGAACGGGCCAAGCCTCAGAGTGTCATCACTGGAAACTCCATTCAGACGATGTGAATGACAAACGAACGTTTTGTCCACACATCTGCAAAGCGACGAGAGCAGCCAAAACAATATGCCAAGATTAAATGAAATGGAAAGCACAAACAAAAATGACACTCAATCTTCCTACTTTTCAGCTCGAATCGTACTGCAGGGGACAACAACGCACAACTGAAGGATGACCGATGGACTTCAGAAATGAAAGATTTTTATCCAAGGGGTTGCAAAAAGCTCAATTAGAAGACTTCGGCTGAGACAGAGCATTCAGCCAAGAGAAGTACGAAAGTCTGTGACGGCAAATCACATGAGAGAGAAGTAGGCATTCAGATTAAGCAATGGTGATCCGCGCTAATCAATTACTGTTACGTCAATATCAATATTACTGAAAAGTTTCGTTCAGCCAAACACTGCCGCCAAAAATTTCCATAAATGTTCATGTGACCAACAAGTGCTTATACGTAATGATGAAGGGGTCAAAAACAATCACAACGGAAACTAGCTGTCGTCTAAGAGGCAGACCGCTTGAAAACTGAACGAGATAAGTTGGTCGAACGGGCCTGTGATATGTGCAGTTCAGGGTTACCATCGTTAGAATCAACAGCTCATCGCCGTAAAGCTCCTAATGGCAGGTAGAAGGAATAGACTGAATGAACATCTATAACTAATAGTACATAAACTATCCACAGAGAGCGATTCGCTGCTTAGACGGAATTTGTAATGACTGATGCATAAACCGCATATCCCTCAGACTCCAAATAGAGCTATTCACTGTTTTACTTATTTGGTACAGCAAAACATTTTAGAAGTCAGTATTCACCAATCGGGAATGCATTTTTAAAGAAAACAGTTTGATGCCGATGTGCAATCCTCTTCTTAACTAAGCACATTATGTCTGAAGACCAAAATGGATCTCAGCGATGCGAACAGATGGGTACTGTCAATGGCTTCCAGTATGGCAGCGTAAGAAACGAGAACATCCTCAAAATAGATTTACCGGCTAAAAGCCAGTTAACTGCGATTACTGGTGCTGGTTCGAGCCAATAAGTTCATCAGATCA